GAATGTTTATGATGCTCCCAAAATCCAGACATTGAAGCCCTAACCCCCAATATGGTCGTATTTGGAAGTGGGGCCTTTAGGAGGTAATTAGGTTTAGATGAAGTCATGGGGGAGGGGGCTTTTATGATGGGATTGGTGTCCTTATAAGGAAAGACCAGAGCTTACTCTCTACCTCATGAAAACAGAAGGCAATTGTTTGCAAGGCAGGAAGAAGACACTCACTGGAACCAAATCTGCTGGCACCTCGATCTTGGACTTCCTAGCTTACAGAACTCTTGAGAAATAAATGTCCAGTGTTTAAGCTATCTGGTCTATGGTATTTTGTTATAGTAGCCTGAGCTAATACATTTATACTGTCTTTTTATAGTTAACTATTCAATTACTTTTACCAGTGCTATTTCATTGAATGGATTCTTGTTACTATCTGATGTCCTCTCATTTCAACTTAAAGGACTCCCTTTAGTACTTGTTAGGGCAGGTCTGTTAGTGATAGATTCTTTGTTTTTATTTATACAGAAATGTCAATTTCTCCTTTGTTTTTGTGGAATAATTTTACTGGCTATAAAATTCTTGGTTAACCATCTTTTTCTTTCAGCACTGTGAATGTCATTCATTGCCTCCTCGCCTCCATGGTTTATTATGAGAAGTGAGAAGTTAATCTTGAAAATCCCTTGTATATGAATTGCTTTTCTCTTGCTTCCATGATTCTCTTGGTTTTGTAGATCTCTTTTGAGTCTATCCTAGTTTGTTGAGTTTCCTGGATGTGCAGTTAATGTTTTTCATCAAATTTTGAAGTTGTTGGCAATAGTTTATTGAAATACACTTTGTGCCCTTTTCTCTCCTCTCCTTCTGGAATTCCCTTCTCCATGTTGGTACACTTGATGGTGTACCACAGGTCCATGGTTCTGCTCATTTTTTTCCCCTTATTCAGACAGGATATTCTCAATTTGCCTGTCTTCAACTTCACTGATTATTTCTAATGCCAGTTCAAATCTGCTGTTGAGACCCTCTAGTGAAATTTTTGTTATTCTATTTTCAATGCAAATTTTCCCTTTACTCATATTTTCTTTTTTTTTTAAAGATGACCGGTAAGGGGATCTTAACCCTTGACTTGGTGTTGTCAGCACCACGCTCAGCCAGTGAGCGAACCTGCCATCCCCATGTGGGATCCGAACCCAGGGCCTTGGTGTTATCAGCACCGCACTCTCCCGAGTGAGCCACGGGCCGGCCCCCTTTACTCATATTTTCTATTTGGTGAGACATTCCTCTAATATTTAGTTCTGTAGACATGGTTTCTAGTTTGAAAATGTTTATAAAAGCTGACTTAAAAGTATTTGTCTGAGTCCAACAGCTGTAATTCCTCTCAGACACTTCCATTTCTTCACATGCCCTGTAATTTTTTGTAGAGAACTAGATTTTAAAATAATGTGGCAACTCTGGAAATCAGAATCCCTTTACCTCCCCAAGATCTGTAGTGTTTGCTGTTTGTTGAGTGACCTTCCTGGACTTAGCGTAGAGTTCTGTAAAGTATACATTCTTTGTTGTATATGACCACTGAAGTCTCTGCTTCATTAGCTTAGTTGTCATCTAATAACTGGACAAAGATTTCTGTAAATGCCTTGAACCAAAAACTCTTCCAGCCTTGCTGAAGTGCTGTGTGTCTGCGCTGGGATACGTCTTCAACACTCTAGCATGCAGTTGACAACTGTACCTTAGGCTTCACTTCCTATTTGCACAAACCTCAAGGTCTGCCACCAGTGAGATTAGTGTCGTCTTAGTTTTTTTCAAACAGCCTTGCACATGCATGTGGCCATCTACATTCCCAGGATATGTTAGAACTTCTCAAAGCCCTCTACGGACATACCATTCCTCCTGTTCTCCCCTTTTTGGGTCAGCCTCTTTTTAGTCTCAACTGCCTTAGGCATCTGCTATGATTGCAAGGGACTATTTTTCACAAATACCCTGGAGATAGGGCTTTTTGCACAAAGTAAGCTGAATCAGTTCAAATAAAGAAAACCTCTGAAAATAGAGCTTTCCAGTAAGGTGCCAAACAAGTCAAATAATGACAATCCTCTGGGGTGAGAATTTGGGGGAGTTTCAAGATTTTTCTTTGAAGAGCTTCAAACTTAACTCTTTTGGGGGAGCTTAAAGCCCCCTCCAATGGCTAGTAGGTTGCTGGTTTTCTCAGTCATCATAGTTGTGAGACTGTTCATTTTCAAGGTTACACTGGAGCTTGGGAAAGGGAGACAGAGCAAGTTAAAATACTATAAAACTGTAAGTTTTTATTGAATTAATGTTCTTCTGATTCTTGGAAGCCTTCGGCTAACGCTGGAGTTGTGAAAAAGTTGATTATGACAACTTACACTATTCTCTTATTTTATGGAACAGCAGATTTTCGGAGATCCTTACTCCACAAAACAAGAGTTCTCAAGTAAGTTGTTTTTACAGTTACAACAAATGCACACTTACTAATATTACTTTCTTATAATTATGCTCTGAAGATTAGCATACAAAAGGTATACATATAAAAAAGTAAATATGTCTAAGCAGAAATGCAATGGGAATTCAAAGGAGATGCCTTTTCTCATTTGGCATTTCAATTACGTCATGTTTAGTTATCCAAATCAAAATCCTGAGCCTTAGTTTTCTCAAATGTACAAGGGAAATACTTGTACATACTTGTACATAGGTTCAGAGGATTAAAATGATAATGTAAAATCTATCACAAAGCTACAGTAATCAAAACAGTGTGGTACTGGCATGAGGACAGATATATAAACCAACAGAATACAAAGCCCAGAAACAAACCCTCACATATATGATTGATTGATTTCAAACAAGGGTGCCAAGACCATTCAATGGAGAGAGGGCTGAGAAGACTGGATGTCTACATGCAAATAAACAAAGCTGAGCCCTGACCTTTCACCTATGCAAACTCAAAATGGAACAAAGACTTAAATGTGAGAGCTAAAACTATAGAATTCCTAGAAGAAAACACGAAAATCTTCAAGACATTGGATTTGGCAATGTCTTCTTGGATATGACATGAAAAGCACCACCAACAAAAGAAAAAAAAATAGATACACTGGACTTCATCAAAATTAAAATTTCTGTACATCAAAGGACACTGTATCAGAGGGAAAAATACTGAATGTCCTCATTCATAAGTGGGAACTAAGAGACAAAGAAGGAAGGAAAGAAAGATCGCGGTGGTGTGTTGGACTTGCAGAGGGAGAGAGTGTACATAGGGTTGCAGTGGGTGGGTAAGGTTGAAGATTAATCAGGTGAGGGACATGGGGAATAATAGCAATTTGTGGTAATGCAAATGCTGATAGTATTGATCTGGCCATCACATCTTGGGCACAAGTGGTGAGGGTCAGCTTTGTACGCCATTAATATAAGAAATAAAAAAGGACATTATATCGAGAGTGAAAAGAAAACCCACAGAATGGGAGAAAATATTTGCAAATCATGTATCTGCTAATGGATTAATATCCGGAATATATAAAGAACTCCTACAGCTCAACAACCCAATTAAAAATGGGCAGTGGACTTGAATACACATCTTTTTTTTTTTTTTTTTTTTTTTTTTTTTTTCACTGTTGTTTGGTCACATTACAGAAAATTTTAATTTTTATTTCTTGGACCATCTGAGAGTAGGTTGTCGACATGATGCCCACCACCCTGAAAACTTTAGACTGTGTTTCCCTCCAATAGACCGTTCTCCATGACTACACACTCCCATCTAAATCAGGAAAGTAACCCTGATAGGACACTAGCATCCAAGCCTTAGATCCCACTCAGATCTTGCCAATTTTCCCAATAATGTACTTTCTTAAAAAAAATTTGTTTTTTATTTTTATTTATTAATTTTTTTGTCTTTTTTGTGACTGGCTGCACTGCACTCAGCCAGTGAGTGCACCGGCCATCCCTATATAGGATCTGAACCCGCGGCGGGAGCGCTGCTGCGCTCCCAGCTCCGCACTCTCCCGAGTGCGCCACGAGCTCGGCCCTTGAATACACATTTCTCCACAGAAGATACACAAATGGCCAATAAGCACATGAAAAGATAGTCAATATCACAAACCATTAGGGAAATGCAAATCAAAACCACAGTGAAAGGATATACCCATTAAAATAGCTATTATTAGAATACTCATTAGGATAGCTATTTAAAGGAACCAAAACAGAAGTGTTGCAGAGGATGTAGAAAAGCTGGAACCCTTATTCACTGCTGGTGCAGCCACTGTGGAAAAGTTTGGGGTTCCTCAATATCTTAAACATAGAATTACCATATGATTCAGTAATGCTGCTCCTATGTATATGCCCAAAAGAATACAAAGAAGGGACTCAGTCAAATACTTGTACAGTAACATTCAGTGCAATATTATTCACAGTAGCAAAAAGTGCCCATCAGCCTAAGTGTTCCTCAACAGATGAATAGATTAAAAAAAAAAAAAGTGGAATGTACATACAATATTATTATTCAGCCATAAAAAGGAATGAAATTCTAATACATGCTATTATGTGGATTAACCTCGAAAACATTGTATGATTCCACTTAGATGAGGCACCCACAATAGTCAAATTCAAAGAAAGTAGCATTCAGATTACTAAAGGCTGGGGAGAGGAGGAAATTACTTATTGCAGTATTACTTATTGCAGAGGTTCTGTTTGGGATGATGAAAAAGGTTTTGGAAATAGATATTGGTGATCATTACCCAACGCTGTGAATGTACCTAATGCCACTGAATTGCACATTTAAAAATGGTTAAAATGGTAAATTTGGTTATGCATATGTTACCATAATAAACTTAAAAATGATAATGTATCCAAAGGCTTTACCACATTTGGTAAGGCTTTTGATCCTCAGTTGAAAGAGTGGTTAAAAAATCACTTAGATAATGTTTTATGAAACCGTAGTTGGTGGTGACTGTCAACAGCATCTCCCTTCCCGCAAAGCGCACACGTGCGCACATACACACACAGAGTACACTCAGTGCTCTATCAAATACCTATATTTCACAAAGGATTATACATCCAATACTTTACTAATAATGAGAACAGTTTATATCCTCCCATACTGACAGATAAAACCACATTCTCTAAGCACAAAGCTTATATTCACAAATAACTTTCCGCTTAAAGACAAACTTTCGATTAACAGTCACAATGGGAATTTAGTTATTTGATGCAACCACTAATCTGTCACCAATAAAACCTAAGCAATTTTATCACAAAACCAGGGTTATATTCACTGGACATGCATTAATAATCTATACAATTTTTCAACATTACACCAGAAAAGGAATTGAATATAAAAGTTTCCTTGACTTTTGGTGGTTTTCAAATTTCATGGCACAGATTACCAAAAAAACTGTAAAAACAGATTTTAAATATTTTCAATAAAATGGTAAAAAATTGAATAAACTTTTAAGTTCTCATATTGGGCTGAAGATTTAGAACACCAAGCTGGCCCCAATCTGTCAAAATTGACAGATAAATATTTACAATAATTAGATGTTAGTTACAATAGTACTGGAGGTCCACTTCCTCCTATCAAAACCCTTTAGGGTTAATTTCTCGATGCAAACATGTCTTTGTAAATACTGTGATAATATAAACTTGGAAACATAACTAGAGTTGGGACAGGGATGAAAAATAACATACAAGTCAACCTTCTTTCTTGACCTGTCAGCATAAAGCCTGGCTCCCAAATACCCAACACTATCCCTCAATATAAAACTAAATTAAGAATGACTTTACCCTGCTGGCTGACATTCTTCTACAGAATTATCTTTCACTACATATCAAGGGAGGGTACAACTCCATTAATCTGCTACTATAAAGTGTAATTAGCAGAGCACCAAATTTATAAACTGATACGGCAACCCAAAATGCTATAAAACACACTTTTCAAAAAGAAAACTTTTTTTTCCCATTGTTAGTTCTATGTGCCATGTTATTCCTGAAACATATGTGGCTACCAATAAGAAAAGAATAGGGAAGCTCTGAACATATCTTGTACTTTTCATCAAGGCTAAAGTGCAAAATATCTCCGTATCTCTGGTATTTTAATGGAAAAAACATCAAACACACATAATAAAGTAACTGAGGTGACAAGAGAACTAATACAGAAAAAAAAACCCTCTTAAATATACACTTGAAGACTACATATTACTACCAATTTAATTTTTCTTTCTTCAGTGAAATTTGTCAATGAACCAAGTTCTCATAGAACTTCAGATTTTGTTTGATTCTCTTCCCCAGGGCTAGAAATTCCAAAATAACAGGGGGAAAAAAATGAGAAAAAAAAAAAAGTAACATTGCATGACAATGGGTACTTAGTTCATAAAGAACCTCTTTTTTTAAATGAGATATTATGGAAGAAAATACCATGAAAATAATAATCCTATGAGAATTGTTTTTAAGCACAGTAAGTTTGAGCCTTGGTCTTCATGAAGATACTACAGCTTATATAGAAAACTATAAATATACAAGACTCTGGGGGAAAAAAGGTCAGAATACATGTTATTTAACATTCTATAGGCCTAAAAAACTCTTGAGGGGAGAGAGAAAAGGATGGCCATTGAATCTTAAGAATACAGAACTATGAAAAAGTCCTAGGTCAAAAGGGTGCTCCAAATGGAACCACACTTTGTGAAAACACACAACTTAGAAATATTTTTAAAGGAAAGAAAAATATACTGAATAATTTCAGTCCCTTCCAAAAGGGAAATTTTAAATTAAGGGGGAATATTCTAATAGTGTAAACGAGTCTGGCTCAGAAAGAAAATTGAACAACATATCCAAACTCTGTCCATAAAAGTAATGACAGTAACATCTTTAATATTAAAGAAATAGGCTATAAAAAAGTTCAGTCTCAGAATTGGTTTAAAAGCTCATTTGTGCTCCTTTGTGGGTGCGTAATAAAGTTCCATGGGTTTGTTCACTTTCCAGTATTTCTCACTGACCAATTCCAGAGAAAAAGAGCCATTTAATACCTAAAACAAAAAAATGGGAGAAAAAAGTTATGAAAACTGCATGAAGCAGAAAATAGTGAGATAGAACAAAAATAGAAATCCACAGAATCTTTTTTTTTTTTTTAATCTTAGGAATAACTGCTTGTCATTTATATTGTTTATAACAGAACAAATAAAGAGTATCAAAAAGTGAACTACCCTGTAACAATTTCTCTTTTTTCAGGGTCTCAGGATTCTGCACTGTCTTGTTAGGCCCCACCAACCTCCCACTCAGTCAATGTGCTCCCAGTTTCAACAGTCTATTATTTTAAATACTCACAGTGAACTGGCCACTGGCTGTTGCTATATAAATAGTATACTGTTTCTCACTGGCTGTATCAAGGTTCATCTGGTTTGATTCTCCTTTGCTTCGAAGTTCTTCTAAAGCTAACCTCACAGCCAGATACTTGGATAAGTGGTCCACAGTGGCATTACCTGAAGTCTTTATGTATCTGAAAGATTAAATCATTAAAATTTAATTTCTAGAATACACTAATGAGAAAAACATACTTAAATTATATAATACATTTCTAAAAAGCTAAGGGCAATGTAAATGTCTCAATTACTGACAAAATAATACCAGAAATGTATTGCTTAATAATCTAAAAATTTCTTATTGCTGGGTATAGAAGAAGAGAAAGAAAGTACACAGTATCTGACTGCCAGGACATGAAAGCTCTTCCTACCTTACCTTCTGTAAAATATGATATAAAATGACAAAAATACAGAAAGTATTAAGTGGGAAAAAGAAGAACATACCTCTCAACACCAATAATCAGAATTTGCTAACTGCTACAGCAGCATAAGAACAGTAAGAATATGGGTAAATTTCTTATTGTCTAAGACTTAAAATTTCTGGTTTTTAAGACTGAGCCTAGAAGTGCTAATCTTGGGATTTCTAAAGCATAGTATACCATTCAATCACTCATTCAACAAATATTTGATGCTTATCTGCACTCGATGGCAGGCAGTGTGCTGAAGATACGTAGTAAAGCAACCATCCTTGCCAGTATGAATGTTAGAGCGTACTGGCATCCTACTATCATTGTTAAGAAATTTGAATGGTCCTTTTTCCTCCTTTACCTAGGAGGGACATTCCTTTCAGATGTGCAACTTCAGGTGGGAAGTACTTGAGGAAGGAAGGAATCAACAATCTAGGCAGCCAGTATATCCAAATGAAACCCTGACAATCAATGGGATAACAAATACTGCTCCTACTTCTTATGCAAAATTGCCTTTTAACTCTAAATTAAATTCTGAATTCAGATCATCTGAAACTAACCCACAAGCTTACCTCGTCTGGGCACTGTCATCTTTTTCCATAAGTGTCGGATGAGGCCTGAATACCAATTCAATTTCACTAGCACCATCCATTACTGGATCAATTGCCACTGTTGCATTGTTATTATCAAGCTCAAGCCCAGAATCATCAGATGTTTTGGTCCGTTTGTTGCTGGGGCCTGCCTCCTGATTGCTATGTGTGGATGCATTACTACAGTGCGAACTGTCACCGTTATCTTCTGCTCCACTACCATTTTCAATCTGTTGTTTCTTGCCTCGCTGTAATCTAGTTAAGAACAACAAAAAAAAGGAATGCATAAAATCTATACTTTAGGCCTTTCAAATTTGAAGCATGTTCGCTACTGAATTTTAGAATTCTAAAAAATCTTGATAATTGAGTTTCCTCCAAGTTGAAAAACCGCAATGTTTCTCACAGGTTCCTGAAAGGTCTAAAAAATCTCACATACACACAGGCAAACATTTAAATGATTTACATAAATGTTTATATTAACTTAATAATTTCCTTTATTGAACAAGTGACACTATGGAATTATGGGCAAATCCTTATTTATATTTTGATTGTAAGTCCAAAGGCAGGCATGATTTAGATATGAAAATATAAAAATTCTGAGGGAAGATATTTATGCCTCATTAATTAGAAATTCTCTTTTTGGGGGCAGCTGGCTAGGTATGTGAATCCAAATCCTTGACCTTGGTGTTATCAACACTATGCTCCATCCAACTGAGCAACCAGCCATCCCTTTAATTAGAAATTCTTAAGGAAAAAAAAAAAAAGAAATTCTTAAGGAAACAAGATTTAAGAACAATGGTAGGCACTCCCTCCCTACTGACCTCCCTCAAAGTCTGCTTATGCAATGCAAAATGATTCTAATGAGAGAAACTGGATGGTATCTAGATAACCAGCATAAATATAGAAGCAGCTCCCTAATAAGCTCAGATATAAAACCAACTACTGGGCAAAGCGCTTTGTGTATGTAATCTTATTTGCTCCGTAAAACAATCTGTCAAGACAGTAAACACTACCTTCATTTTATAGTTCAGAAAACTGAAGAAACTGAGGTACAAGGTTAAATAATTTACTTACAGTTATACAACTACTAAGTACCAGAGCTAGAGCTAGAACGTGATACCAGACAACATTCTTTCTATTCACACTGCCTGTCTCTCTACCCGCATATAAAAGAAAAAAGGAGAGATATATGGTAAAAAAGAAATATGGAAGAATGACATGTGCTTCTGAGAATAGTGTCTTTTTGTTTATTGCCAGAACAAGGAAATGACAGCTCAGTGGTTAGGAAAGATGCTCAAGAACTCTTGTTTTTAAAAAAAGGAAATCAAAACTAAGAGGAGATGACTAATATGTTAATGACAAAACTATGATTCAAAAAGATATAAACATACACAATGGAATATTATTCAGCCTTGAATAGAAAGGAAATCCTGTCACATGCTACTATACTAATTAACATGTTGAGGACATTTTGCCAAGTAAAATAAGCCAGAAAAAGGATGAACATATTTGATCCCACTTTTATGAGGTATCTAACATAGTCAAATTCATAGGAAGAGAAAATAGAATGGTGGAGGGCTGGCCAGTTAGCCCCGCTGGTTAGAGCATGGTGCTGTTAACAACAAGGTCCAAGGTCTGGGTCCCCATACTGGCCAGCTGCCAAAAAAAAGAAGTGGAATGGTGGTTATCAGCAACTGGAGGGAGGGGGAAACAGGGAGTTTTTGCTTAATGGGTATAGAGTTTCTGTCTTATAAGATGAAAAGAGTTCTGAAGATTGGTCACACAACAATGTGAATGCACTTAACACTACTGAACTCTACACATAAAAATGGTTAAGATGGTGAATTTTATGTTACGTGGTTTTAACCATAATCTTTTTAAAAAAGAGGAACAGACCAAAATGATAGGGAGGGAAAAAAAAAAAAAACCTCAACAGTGATACTATAAGGACTGTACCTAAGTATTTTCTAAAAGCAAAAGTTGTTTTAGTTGATGATAAATTAAAGTGATCTAACAGGTTTATAACACAATGTATTTAATGTCACTTCATGACAGAGCTAGACTAATGTAATTTCAGGCAGCATTTAAAGAATAATGTTCAGATAAAGATTAATAGTCTGTTATATCCTACATTTATCAAATCACACTTATACCACATACTGTTCTGACAGTAGCATTTCAAGAATGACACCAACAATCTTGAATGATACCAACAATCTTGAATGCCATATGAAGAACAATAAAGAAATTAGGTATGAATGTTTAGCCTTTAGAAGAGCATGTAAGAACATATGTATATCTATATGAAAGTATTTGAAAAAACTAGAAGTAGAATCTGAAATATATATTTTGACAGAAGACAGACCCAGACTGCTACATACAACAGACTTATTTTAATTACTTCTTTCCAATATAAAGGAAGAACTTTAAAAAAAAAAAAATTCAGGCATTCAAAAATATTCAGCAGCTACTTTATGCCAAGCACAGTTCTAAGTGCTGGAGTTACGATGATACTGACATGCTCTACTTTCACAGGGTGCATATTCTAGTGCAGCAGATAACACATGTCAGAGAATGATAAACACAGGAGAGAAGAATGAGGCCGTGAGGATAAGGAAGGGAGTGTGCCATGTAGCTTACCTGGAAGAAGAGAGTTCTTGAAAGAGAAGAGTAAGTACAAAGGCCCTGAGGCAGAAGCATACTTGGTGAGTTTGGAGAACAGTAAGGAAGTTGTAGTAACAAATGAAAGGAGCTCCTACCACACAGCCCCACCACTAGTAATGTTCAAGCAAAATCAAAGTACTATCTATAAAGAATTTTCCAAAGAGGATTCTTGCTCCTGCTAAAAGACTAAATTGAACAACCATTAAAGTCCTTCCAAATCTTAAGAATGTATAATTCTTTAAAAATAAATACATTCAACATTTAAAACTTTATTTTACTTTGATAAAGAAAGAATTGTAGGTCAGTTTAATATGCTTAGCATAGAGCACATTTTTTAACCTTTAAACCAGTGGTTTCTGACTTAACTTGCACTTTGGAATCACCAATGGCACCTTAAAAACGGTAATGTCTGGCCCCCAATTACTGGTCTGAGGTGATACCTGAAGCTCTGAGATTTAAAAGCTTTGAAGTGATTCTGATGTTCAGACAAGGTGAAAATCACTAGATTGAGATGGAGCTTTAATGGCATTTCCTACTTTGGAAAAAGATGATTCTCCCTGAAGCCTGAATAAATTAGGAGACAGTATCAGAGAGGAAAGAGGGTGGGGGTAAGGATAGTGCCCAGATTAAGTAGGGATATTGGAAGCCATCATTAAGGTCTTTTGGTTTTTAACCTGAATGTGAACAGAAGCTATTAGAGGGTTCTAAACAAAGGAGAAGCATGATCTGACTTTCAATTTAACATGATGACTCTGGCTGCTGTTCTGAGAATAAACTAAGTGGGAAAGTAGAAAGACCAGTTGGGAAGCTATTTCAATACTTCAAATGAAAGATGGTGGTGGCCTGGACCAATCTGGATATACTATGTGAGAAAGCTAAAAATATTTATTTATTCACAGATTGGATGTGTGTGAGAGGGTGTGAGAAAAAGAAATTTAAGGGTAACTCTTAAGTTTTTGCTTTTTTTTGGTCTTTTTTCGTGTCCGGCAACGGATCGCAACCCTCAGTGTCGCGCCCGTACCGGACCGGGACCGGCAACAGGATCGCAACCCTTGGTGTCGCACCCGCACCTCGCTCAGCCAGTGAGCGGGAACCGGTCTGTACGTGGGATCCGAACCCTCGGCGGGAGCGCCACCGCGCTTCCAAGCGGCGCACTGTAGCAGTGCGCCACCGGGCCGGCCCTTAAGTTTTTGGCTTAAAGCAAGTGGAATGATGAAGTTGAAATGAGCAAGAATGAAGAGAAGTAGGGGACAAGAATCAAAAGTTCAGTAATAAACATGTTAAGTTTGAGGTTCTAATTAGATATCCAAGAGGAGATGAGTCTAAAATTCAGAGAAATTCAGGCTGGATAAATAAATTTGGGAGTCATCAGCATAGGGATGGTAATTAAAGCCATAAAACTGGATGATGGACCAGCCAGTCAGCTTACTTGGTTAGAGCAGAGTGCTGATAACACGAAATAAAACCTACAAAAGAAACTAAGAAGGAATAGCTACTGACATACAAAGGGAACCAGGAGAATATGGTTTCCTGAAAGACAGATTAAAAAAAAAACTACTAAAAGAGGAAGGAGAAATTAAATGCTAAGAAAGATGAGGTGTGAGAATTAGTCATTGGACTACACAATGTGGAGGTCACAGATAACTTAGATAAGGGTGACATGATGGGGTGTTAAGAATGAAAGTCTAATTGAAGGGGGTACAAAAAAAGAATGGAAAAAGAATTAAAGACAGACAAAGCAACTCTCTCAAGAAGTTTTGCTATGAAGAGAAATAGAATGGTGAGTGGAGAAAGAAGTGGGTACAAGAGAGATTCTAGCAATCTTAAATGGAATATCCAACTATGCCTGGAGGCATATATTATACCTGTATAAATAGGTAACCATACAGAACTATCTGTTACTGCATTTTACCTTTTCCAAAAAGCAAATTCAATATTTAATAAAGTATTCAACAGCCACCCTCTCTGGTCCTCTTTCCCATATACCTGTTCAAGGCCTGTATCTTCAGTCCTTCCTCAATGCTGTGACTGAGTGCTTGCTGATTATTGTGCTTGTTAATTCTGGCTAATACTCTCTCTTGATGAGCTTCATACTCATCACGACTTGGATAAATTTTGCTGATGAGTGCATCAAAGTTTGGGTCTGGCCTTAGTGATCTTTTAGAAACTAGCTTTTTCCGACAGGTAGGGCATTCTTTGTTGCTAAATAAAAGGAGGGAAAAGAAAATGTAAACAACACCTGTATCTTTGTGCTAAAGACAAAAATACCCAGCTGCTACCATTATCATCTTTATTCCAATACCTTTACTAAGTCACAGAAATTTAAACTGATTAACTTGAATTTCCTTAAAAAATCTGACTAGTGGGTAAGCAAGATTTTGGAAACTTGCCAAAAGAGAAAAATTTTAATACTTCCCAATGATAATTTACATATAACCATTTTAGAAATAAAAATCTATTCTTTCCTAATTTAATTTCCCCTTTCTGATATACATGACATACAAGGAAAAAACTACCCATTAATATATATTAACTTACATGTTATCAAATCTTTTACTGAAATAATTTTGTAAGGATATTATTTTATATACTGAAGTAGAAAAACCATGGTTTCATGCTTTGCAATTTCCTCAAAACAAATACTCATCCTGTAAAGCTTCTAAATATACATAAAGCCAATGGTTTCAGAACAAAGATTCCCCAATAACTAGACTTAAGAAAAATTTCCAGTTTCCAATCAAATACTTATAGAGAATGCATTTTTCAAACCCCGGGGAGCACTGTCATGGTATAATTTAAGTACCCACTATAACTCATTTCAACATACCCACTTCTAAGGGCTGTGATAATGCAGTCTGCACAAAAACGATGTAAACACTCCTTTGTAGTCATGGTGTTCTTCAACATATCCAAACAAATCGGGCACATTAATTCACTGTGCAGACTTCGAGGTGAAACCACAATTTCCAAACCATCTGTTATTGCCTCCTGTAAAAAAGTCACTTTAAAATTAAATGCTACTTAATTACTTTTTATTATGGATAAGTTCAAACATATAAAAGTACTGAAAATGGTAAAAATGAACATGTGTACCCATCACCCAGCCACAACCATTGTCAGCTCACGGCCAATCTTGTTTTAGCTGTAATCTCCAACTCCCCTCAGCCCCACTACCACTGATTATATAAATGTTCTTATTTTAATGCTAAAGATAACATATTAATGTATTTTAAAGGATAACTAATGGGAAATCAGCCTGGTATAATTTTAAAAAGCATTGACTTAGAAATCATATGCCTTTTTTAGTTCTAGTCATATTAACTAGCTGTGTGACTCTAAATAATTATTTAACATTGTTTTCTCACATGTAAAATGAGGAAGTTAGGATTAAATGAACCCTAAGATTCTTCCATCTTCAAAAATAACACCATTTTGATAATAATAAACTATTTTTCATGCTGTCCATTGAAATATTTTAAGATTCCAATAAAAGTACTCTCTAATTTATGAACAGCTTAACAGGATTTCATTTTAAAATCTTGAACCTCAAAAAATCTTGGTCCACAGAGCAATTTCATACAAAGTAATCAGGTTCTCAGGCTAATCCACAAGCTGATGTAAATATAAGACAGCTTAAGTATAACATGTATCACTATATATGATTATCATGCCCAAAAATGTTTCTCTACAAAAATGCATTTGGAGTTCCAATGTATAATTCCAAGATACATCTCCCCTGCTGCAGAGTGATTACTGAGTTCTATTTGCTTCATCACCATCAGCACTACCCACCCTCCTCACATTGAGAAAAAAGACTACCTAGCTCTAACACCACCAATACCAGTTCAGTGAGCACTGAACAGGAAAATGAAGGTAGAGATAAGGAGGAGCTTCTTCTTTTTTTTTTGGTCTGTGGTGTTGGCTGTTGTTTCTGCTGTTAGTTATAGGTCCTTAGGGCATGAACAAGATTAATTTTCTCCTCATGAATAGATGTGGGTGTTCTGCCACTGCAGGCTTCATCTTAACATTGTCTCATCCCTTCTTAAAACAAATGTCCATTTGTAAACTGCTGATTTCTTTGGGGCACTGTCCCCATAAACTTTTCATAAAGCATAAATGATTTCATCATTCTTCCACCCAAGAGAAATAAGGGGCTTCTGATATGCTACTGATACTTCCTGCTACTTTCCACTGGCTCTCCATCATACTTGTGTGTTCTTTATAGCCAAAGATCAATTATCCCAAAAGGAAAGACACAAGAACTATAGACATTGTCCATAGAGGGTACAAGTAAATATATTTACATTTACAGTAGCAACTACCACTATTATCAAGTGCCTGTTATGTTTCAACTTTATATAAAGCACTTCACATATTTCATTCTATTTAAACACTTTCGCAAACTTTTGATTTAGGAGTTATAACCTCCATTTTATACATGAGGAAACTATTAGTCAGAGTATGATGACAACCCAGGTGGTAAAAAGTCTATTCTTCTCTCCCTTTTTAGAACATACCTAACAAATCTCCAACCCTGGATAAACTCAATCATCTATATTCTCCAGGGCTGTACCAGTGCAAGTGTATATAGCACTCTGGGGGAAAAGGAAGAGGAGAAGCCAGATCGATGTCACTAAAAATTTCACCAACCTCAAATGGGTGTTCAACAGCACTCAGCAACTGGTTAATCTAACAAACTCATTTTTCATTTCTCTACACTATTTTACGCCTTTTCTTCGATCTACAGACTTTATTTCACCTCAACTTTCAACAGATTACCTTACCTCATATTTCATTAAAAAAGAGCCCCCTCATTTCCTCTCCACAAAATCTACATATGAACATCTTCTCTCTTATTACATGGAGAAACTATCAAAGGTAAATTCCTTTGTACCTTCTCAAAGATCTCCTGTTTTTGATTATTCTATTTGCTCTCAGACTTCAGCAACCTCTCCCTCCATTAAATCAGCTGAGATTAGTATCTCAACAGGGTCGCTGCATAGTGAAATGTGAATGATGCACCCTAGAGCTGTGCAAAGGGAAGGGTGGGGAGAGAGGCACTCTATCTCCATCTTATAAACAAAACAAAATTTAAACTTAATTTCACATTCTCTTCCAATTCCTGCTCCATTTCTCTGCCCTGCACAGCCAAACTTCTCTAAAAAATCGCCTATTCATATTTTTCACTTTTCCCCCCGTTACTGAACCACATATGCACACAATTATCATATCCTTGGTTCATGACATGAATGAATAATGAGAATGTATCACGAGTCCATTCAATGTTCAACCTAGTACAATCTACTTAAGTGAATTTGCTTGTCAAGGTCACCAAGTATACGAGGAGTCTTCAAAAAGTTCAGGTAAGGATCTGCATTATCTTTTAATCCCATTTTTATACAAATTTTGTGAAGCACTCTCATATATTCCCAAATCTAATATAAACTTTTCTCATCTTCATCTTACTCAACCTCTCAGCAGTGTTGAACACATTAACTACATTCTTCCTGAAACACTTCCTTCAGATTTTGAATCCTCTCTCTCTCTCAGTCTCCCATTTTTCCTTCCTTTTCTCTGGATGTTCCTTTTCAGTCTCCTTTACTGGTTCCTTGTCCATAACCTAATTTCTAAATGCTGAAGTGCCTCTGGATGAAGTCATGCGCCCTCTGCTCATCTGCAGGTGAACTTATTTAAAATGTGCTGACAACTCCTAAAATTTTATATTTAGTCTAAACTCTAGTTGGCATCACTGCCTGCCAATCTTATAGGCATCTCAAACTTAAAATGAGTCCAGCTTTAAGCATGTTTATTGCCATCAAACCTGCTCTTTCCCCCAGGTCTTTGCCATCTCTACCTTCTCAAAACTGTCTTCTCTAGTTGCCCTGTTATTACTTACCAGAGTATGGAAGACTTTTCCTTTACACAATTTCCCACATGTGTAATTTTATGGATATTTACTTGTTTAATGTCTATAAACTCCATGGGCTGGTATCACTGCTCACCTAGTGCCTAACAGAAATTTGCATAGAGTATACAATTTGTTAAATCAATGAATAAAGTGTCAGCCAAACACACACAAGTCAGGACTGCTTGCATATAAATTTAGTATTACTGCTATGTTAAAGTTTTCTTTTTCTAAAAAATGTATCCCTAATTACATATGTCTCATAGACATTACCTGAGGTGTTCGTTGTAATTCATATAAACTGAGTTCCCATGTTTTGCTTAATGGCTGAGTTCCATTTGTCTGCACAGCCTGAGACATTGCTAGGAGGGGAAAAAAAAGACAAAAACGGTTTTAATATTTGAAAGGGAGATGCTATGGTCTGAATATACGTGTCCCCAAAATTCATATCTTGAAATCGAATCTCCAATGCCAACACTATTAAGAGGTGATTAGTCCTTTGGAAAGTGATTAGGTCATTGGTACCCTTATAAAACAGAGTTGAGGGAGGGAGCCTTTTTGCCCTTCTGCCATGTGAGGACACAGAAAGCACCATCTATGAGGAATAAGCCCTCACCAGACACCAAATCTGCTGGTACTTTGATCTCAGACTTCCTAGCCTCTAGAACTGTGAGCAACCAATTTCTCTTGCCTATAAATTACCCAGTCTAAAGTATTTCGTTAGAGTAGGCCACACAGACTAAGACAGGAAGTAAAAATCAAAGCTGATTTTTAGAAATTGTTGAATTTGAGAATAATAAAAACAGAAATTACACACTGGTTTCTCGAAAATTAAAGAGGGAAAGCTCAAGAATCGCTCCATTTATAAATATGAACTACTTGACAGTAAGACAGTAAGAAACTACCACTGATCTCTGAATACCCATATAGGAAGTGCTTAACATTATCAAAAGTGCTTAATTATTATTGAATGTATAGAAGATTGTCTTAACCCAAAATGATATTTTTCTGAAATTCATGGTCACAGAACTTAGAAGTAAATCAGGAAAATTTCACTCTTTGGCACAGCCATCTAGTCCAACTCTGCAAGAGATACAAAATCTACTTTATAGCACTTTAAACCTCTGGTCATTCTGCCTGTACTTTTACAGCTCCATTCATGAAAATTTTCCTGCCTAATAGGTCAACTCTAATGTTCAGAAAGCTATTCTTAAGGCTGAGCCCCAAACTGTTATCTATTCATCCTATCTGCCCTCTGGAGACAAACTGATTAAATCTAATAATTTTTCTACATGACGGCCTTTCAAATATTTGGAGACTGGTATTACATCTCACCTGATTTTTTCTTTCTTTTTTGCTAAATATCTTAGTTTCTCCTATAGCTTCCCATTTGACATGATTTCAAGGTCTCCTCATGAAGTTGATTCATTCCCTCTCAATATAAATGAACTGAACAATGTAGGGCCAACTTCTCCACTGTCTTTGAGTATAGGGGGATGGAGGACCTAGTATACACACAGGGAAGGAAGATGGTCACAGATATAATATTATCTTCTCCTTGGGAGCATAGAAACCCAAAGGGGCTCCAGTCATCCAAATATTTAGTAGGCATCTATTACTAACCAAGCGTAACTGCCCCAGGATCCTTGCCTCAGAATTCATAGACTAGAAAGAAATGCATTTAAACAGAAAAACTACAACCTGACAAGACAAAGTCTAAGCAGGAGTATGAACAATAGTACGGAATTACAGAGGAGGATCAGGGAGTTTGAGGAGTCAGGGAAGGTTTTAAAAAAGATTAAAAAAGCTTTAAAAAGTAAGAGATTACTACAGTGGGATTGGAGTACATAGGAAAGAATTCTCTAGGCAAAAGAGAGAAGCAGGGATAAACAGACAGGCATGAAAACTAGGTATGCTCTGTGTTTGGAAGGTGCTGGAAGTTTTAAACAGGAGAGTGACATAATCAAATAGTTTCACGGAAATCCAAGTAGTAGTAGAGAAGGGAGAAGAACAGAAAGCAACTAGCAGTAAAATCAGTGAGGAAGCTGTTAAAAAAACTCAAGTGATATTAACTATCTGAACATGGTTGAGCATGGTCAGAGACATAGAATTAGATAGAACGTTAAGTGATACACAGGACAATGGTATAACAAAGAAGGGTCAAATATGAGTTTGGGAAAGCAGCCTTCCTTTAATGAGATGCAGAACATAGAAGGAAAGGTATGGGTTAGAAGAGAAATAGAGTTGCTCCACATACTGAGTTCCAGTTACTTATGAACCTCTGAGGTAGAGCAGAGGTCCAGTAGAAAGTAAAAAAGAAATATTCCATACCTCCCTGTCCTTTGATTCTGTACCCTGCCTGATCTGATCTGTCCTTTGATTCTGTACTCTGGGGCTAAAGGTTAACAGACTAATCATCATACAGTTTGATTATTCAACCAGAGACCATGCCACCATTTGCATCACTAGACTCCTGTTTTAGTGACACTCTCTTTTGTGAATCAAAGATAAAGCTGCATAATTCTCCTGGTAGAATGCCTATCTCCTATATGCCTTCTCACTATAATCCTAAATTATTGTGTTTACTAGGCTAGCTGGCACAATTTCTCCAAGGATGATTTACAATTACCTCAACTATCATGGGGAATTTTAGACATGTCAAAGATAATACAGTTGGTCCTCTATATCAGTGGTTAGTTGAATCTGCAAATGCAGAACCTGTGGATATGGAGGACTGACTGTATATTCTATATATAAAAAAGACTTGAGCACACATGGATTTTGGTATCCATGGGGGGTCCTAGAATCAATCCTCCACGGATATCAAGGGATGACTGTACATATAAGATAAGCTCTAGAAAAGAAAGGGGGAAAAAAATACCAAATATACAACAGCTATCCTTTTTTGACTGGTAAGCCAAAGCCTCAAAATAAAACTCTGCCTTCAAAATAGCAGCCCTGAGGGATTATTTTGCAAAAGCCAAAGAAAAAAAACCACTCAAACTATCCGAAACCTCCCCTCCTTATGCATTCTGCACTATCATGCTTTAGCATCACCATCTAACTATATTCTTTCTTTTCCTCTTTTTTCCCTCCCCTAAAATCCTAAATGAACTATCCTTTCCTGAAGGTCTTCCCCCAAAAAACAACCAATGACCCATACCTACTTAAAAATGCTAAAATGCTGAGAAAGCCAATGGAAAGAGAATTAAGGCATGATTTAGGGCTAACAGTCAAAGGTAATAGATTGTTGGAAAAAGATTTTTTTAAAAAAGGCAAAATACTTAGCAGGGACTAAAGAAAAGTAGGGTGACACATAAGGTCTTTTCTGGTGCCTTTTCTTTAAAAGTTTAGGCTGAAGAGAGACGTCAGCAAGATGGTAAAATAAGAAGCCTTGCCTCTCCTTCCCTCCCAGGAAGACACCAGACAGATCTTTTTGAAAAATCCAGAAACTAGTTAAAAGGTTCCTGCACCTGAGGTGAGTACAAAACCAGCCACACGGAAGCCAGTAGGGAAATTCCAGACAACCTCTTGCTATTATCCCTTACCCCCAGCACAGCACCACAACTGTCAGAGTGAAACTCTCCAGCTCTCAGCTTCTCTCTGGAAAGGAAAAAGAGGTGTACACACTTCCAGTGATCCAACTTGTCTGGGGGCTACCCAGAGGACTGGCTCCTGTCTAGCCTGTCTTGGAGTGCTGATAGGATCTAGCTAACCTAGGAGCAATCAGTGAGAAAGAGATGCAGGTTCGGGTTGGCAACTGCAATAGCCTCTTTTCCCTGGCTCAGCACAGAGCAAGTGGATGAAAAACATCAGTTTCTCTCTGGGGAAAGAAAGAATTGGAAAGAGCAATGACCCACCTATATGGAGAATGCCTAAGGAACTGTTTTCAGTCTTACTTGTCTGAGAGTGCTGGCAGGACCCAGCATGCTTGATACCTAGAGGTTGCTAAGGGTGAAGAAAGCAGGTTGGACGACCACAAAGATCTGAGAGACTCCCAGAATCTTTGGCCAGGCTGATTAGTTAGGGTCTTCTCCTATATACACATGGCCAGTCCATGAGGACTGGGAGAGGTGGTGGTTTTGTCTGATGCACAAACATCAACACAAAAAGTCAAGGAGAATGAAGAAACAGGGAAATATGTTCCAAATAAAAACAACAAGATATATCTCTAGAAACTAACCCTAATGAAAAGGAGATATATGATTTACCTGCCAGATAATTCAAAATAACCATCACAAATACTCACCAAAGTCAAGAGAATAATGGATGAATATGAGAATTTCAATAAAGAGATAGAAAACTTTAAAAACCAACAAACAGAAATTATGAAACTGAAAAATACAGTACCTGAACTGAAAAATTTACTAGAGGACGTCAACACGAAACAAGGTCAAGCAGAAGAATGGATCATTGAACTCAAAGACAGGTCACTGGAAATTATTCACTCAGAGGAACAAAAAGTGAAGAATGAAAAAAGTAATGAAAACCTAACGGACTTATGGGACACTATCTGGTAGACAAATGTATGTGTATACGGGAATTTCAGAAGAAGACAGAGAGGAAGGGACTAGAAAGCGTATTCAAAGAAATAATGGCTGAAAACTTCTCAAGTCTGGGGAGGGAAATGAACATCCAGACCTAGCCAAAAGGACCACAAATAAAATGAACCCAAAAAATCTACACCTAGACACATTATGAAAGTCTGACAAAAATTCAAGGCTATAAATAAAAGATCAAACAATAAAAAGACATAAAAAATTTACTTTATATTTATGGAATAGACCCAAAGTTAATATAAAAGGAGCCCCGCCCCCTCTCATTAATAGGCTAAGAGCTAAAATATTGAGCTTCAAAAAAAGGGAAAAGAAATAGAAAATTGCAAATTTGGATAATTTCCAACATGTAGCTGAAATGTTAAAAGAACCTTATAAACCTGACAAAAGACAAACTAAAACAAACATACAACACTTGAGATAAAACTGGCTATCAAAATAAAGAATCAAGAGATCCTTCATCCTCTAAGAATCAAGGACCCATTAATAAGGATACTGGAGGGTACAGCAAGAAGAAAAATAATTGGAAGAGGCATTGTTGAATATTAGCAAATAAAGGGATGGAGGAAAAAACAATGACCCAAAGCCTACCCAATGACTGTTGGTTTGAAGATGGCTCTTAAATCTAAATTCCTGTGACTTAATTCAAAGTAAATTACCTATAAATATAGATGGCCAGCTTCCTTATGAATACAAGTACCATTACTTCTACCATAAATTCTATTACAACATAATATCAGAGAACTATAACTACTCATACAGGAAGAATTTCTTTTTCTTTTTTTTAAAGATGACCGGTAAGGGGAT